CCTCAGGGTATATTTCTACTAAAAGAATCCAGCATTGCCTCTATAAGCACTTCTGTATTGTGCCAGACCTGCAGGTAGTCCCAGAACTCTAATAGGAAAATTGTCCTCAATTATATTGATAGCCTTAGACAGGAGTAAGCATTTTTTCCCATTCATTTTCCCCATTTCCCAGTGGCTGTGGAACACTTCTTATATAATTTGTCTGGAATATATTTTGGCTTGAGAATATATTCTCACTTCCCCATTGAGATAACTTCTTATTGTTCCAGGTTTAATGCAAACTGTGTAAATTTTTGAAGGAGCATCTTGACAGTGTTCCTGTGTGCTGAGAGTTTGCTCAAAGAACTCCAACTATGGGGCAGAATTTTTTCCTACTAATCAGTGACAATGTACATAACCTTTCTGTCTACTCTAAATGTTCTTGTCTTTAAAATGAGGTTTTGCTTTTCTGCCTCACAGTCATGTTAAAGCTTAATTAATGTGTGTGTGTTAAAAGATCTACAGCATCATGTGATCAAGTCTGGATCTTAATTCACAGTTTTATGATCTAAGGTTCAGTATTGATCACCTTGGGTATTCACAAAGCATTGCCTGAATTTTAATATGGGATTTAATAAAAATAACTCTTGAAAACACTTGTGATTCTTCTTAATAGAAAGTAAATCTGTGCTTGCATATAACTAGTAGAGGTTTCGCACATTATCAGAATTTTTGTAAATGACGTAGTCTTTGATATGCTTACACTCCTGTAGAGTATTTGCTTATTATTTTATTATCATATGCAAAATGTGATATATTTTCTTAAATGGCTGCCTTTAGGCTCCAGTATGAAGTAGACCATCATTTAAAATCACAGTTACGTGGCATTCTTTTAACTTAGCCTAAGTATCAAAATGAAAATGTTTTCCATTTTTCTAGGGGGGAGAATTAAATGTTGGGCTTTTGCAGCCTTTGACCTACACTTTGTTGCCACATCCTGTTTGATCAGTGTGATATCAGTCATGAAAGGCTGTAGGTCCAAGATCCTCTCTTGGCATTGCTTGGAAGACAAGAGTTGCAGTTGCTGTTGCTTTTTTTTTTCTTCTCCTCACAGTCCCACTGGAAAGAGAAACACATCTTAGAAATCAGGAATATTATTGGAAAAATCTAGCAACAGAATAAACAGATGTGACAGAGAAACAAGGAACAATGTGCATTTTGCAAAGCTTAGAAGATTTTAGGAGGAGTTTTCTTGACAGCAGAAATTACAGATACTTTATGTGTGCCTTTGGCAAAGTCAGCAATGGTTTGTGTGTTTTGAAAGTGATTTTCCTTTTCCCCTAGATTCTGTTTTCTTCCTGAGTCCACTTTGTGCTATTATGCTATCTAATTCAAATTAACTTTATATTAGTCAGAGATTGCCAGTGAATTCCCTTCAAGGTTTTTTTCAATCTAAAGTTTGCCTAAAGCTCCAAGATGAAGATGTGATTTTAAGCATCATTCTTTTGCTGCAATGGAAATCTCTTTGGTAGCATTCAAACTCATCTCTTCAGAACATATTATAACATTTTAGGGATCAGTTCAAGACTGAAATTCCCCCAGGAGGAAAGAGTCACCACAAATCTCATTATAACTCCTCCTTTTTTGGTAGGGTTATTTTTAACCTTGTCTATGTAAATACAAGAACACAACAAAACAAAACTTCCAGTTCCCCTCACCTTAATGTGTCAGGTTTTCTCCTCGACTGTTAAAAAGGGCAAAGAAACATATAATGTATGATAGGTATGAATCATACTCCTGGAAAATGCTTGGATGTTACTAGGGGAAGGATTCAGTGAGTGTACCTTGCTGATGTGCCAAAATTTGTGCTGGTCGTTTTTAATGGATGCATTGTGATAATTAGATAGTTGCATTCACAGGTGTGCTAGATGTGTGTACAGATGTAGTCATGCATAACCACATTCTTATTTCTGTTTGAAAGAAAAAAAGTATGTGCAACTTTCCACTTACCTGGCACTGGCAATAATTTACGTCCTGGTTCAGATCAGCACTCTTCCAGATGAATCTGATGTTTGCATTCATTACGGAAGGTTTTCAGCAAAGTCAACAGTTTTATACTTGCATATTTTGGCAATTTAAGATGCTACTGAAAAGAAGGCAGCAAATAATATTTATATGCTTTAACAATTGCCCAAAACAAGCACGTTAACTGTTCTGTAGGAGCTTAGGATGAGCCTGGCACAATGACTGGTTCAGGTTCTGTTTCCTGTACTTCTTTTCTTGTTAGAAAGCAAGTGATTTCTTAGATTCCACTTACTCCACACAGCAAACATCATTGTGGTCCTAAAGATGCTCCTAAAGGCTGCCTATTTATATTTATCTATACTATATACATGTAAGTATTTCAAAACCTCAGTGCGGGGCCTTTGTTCTATTTCAGGAAATGACTTTGATACCTTAGGGAATTCCTGGTGCTTCCTAAGTCATAGGCTTTGACATGAGCTGGTAGAAAATAGAGTATTGAGATCTAAAACTGGTGAATCAATAAGTTAGAAGTTTAATTCAGAATGAAAAGCTTTTGGTTGATTGAGCTAGAATATTACATGTTAGAGTATTTTTTCTTGTAGTTAATTTCTTTTGATAATTTGCAGATTTCCTCCTTTCTTTGGTTGTTTGAAGTTATGAATTCCATAGATATTATCATTTTGTAAGGGAAGAAGGATTTTGGAAAGGTGTACAGAGATTGGATTCTCATCCAGGAGAATCTGACAATCAAAAAGAGGATTTTTTTTTCCCAGTAGGAGAAAGTAAAAAGAAACAACGTGAGTTTCTTTTCTGTTTTAAAAGAGAGTATGGTCCCTCTCTACATGACACTGGAATGATATAATGACATTTTTCATATCTGTTGTGGAGTCATTTGCAGGGTGATATGATGAAAGCAGTTATATATTCTGCTTTTTTGCCTATTTGAGTTGTGTGATAGGGGGTTTGTGTGTGTGTGTCTATCAATTCAGAGAGTGAGGAGGAAGTTCTCATTTTTGCTCTTTTATTTATGCTCATTTTTGCGCTTTTGCTTAAGTTAAAAAACATTAGCTCTGTGAGGTCTAACTGCTAGAGTGGGAAACAATGTCAAGTTGTCCTATTTTTCTTATTTGATGAATAAAATAACAGGATGTTATGGACCCCCAACAATTGTTTGACTTGAAAATCATTTTGATAGAAGAGATTTAACTAAAAATATACATCAACAAATATACATTCACTTTAGTTAGCTCTGCTGTATTTATAATTTTCTCCAAGAAAAAATATGTAGATCCATGTGTAAAGGAGCAGGATGTTTTTTAACTTGGACTGTTAGTTAACTATTCATTTTAAATGTCCTGTTTAGTCCTTACAGCCTAAGAAATATGTAGTTCGCATTTTCCATTTATAAAAATAATTTCCTGAGGCTCCCCTGGCTTAAAGAAAGCAGTGAATAGATTCAGAAATCTTGTACAAGTCCCAGAAAATCAGTTCTCTTGTGAATGTTGCAGAAACTATTTGAATGTCTTTCTGTATAAAGTTTGGAAAGAAAGTTCTGTGGGAACATGATTTAGTGTTTCTAGGTAACTGGCTTCAGCTTCAATGGTCTTTGTATTATAAAAGCCAGATTTTTTCATATTTGTTCTGGGACAAAACCTTTTCATAAATTTTACTGATGATTTATTGAAAAAAAAATCCACCTGTTGCACAGAAATTCTGCCTGAGTGTTTCAGTTTTGTGCAAAGGTATGTGGCGATGCAGGTTTTAAAAATGACTATAATCCTGAAGAGTGATTGTGAAAAGCTACTATGCTTTCATAAAGGTGGGGATCTAATCACTAATAATTAATGTGTTTTTTGGTTTTGTTTTGTTTTTGCTTGAAAAAAACTATCCAGAGACGATATATATCATCATATGTCAGATGATGTTTATTACTTGAATACAGTGCTTAATTGTTTCATTAAATGACCCTTTTGATGGCTGTGGTGAAAAATGGGCATTAAGAGCAGGTCTGAATTCTGTTTTCTTTGCTGGCTGTGCTTGTTTAGAGGCAGCTTCCATAGAGGTAATAGGAGCTTTGAAAGCTCAGCCAGTACCTTCATCTTTCCCCAAACTGCTGGATCGAACCTTCGTAACTATTGTTACGAGTGTGTTGATAAGCAACCTCATCCTCATAATGGTCTGTTATTTATTTGTTTATTTAAAGCCAGCATACTGAAACTTTACCGGAAGAAACTTTATAGGCAGTAAGTATTAACGTACCTTACATTCAATGTTTCTTCCTGTTTAATGCATGTGAATGTCTAACAGGTGAGTTTATTAACTAGCAGTGAAAGCTATTTGCATGATTCTCCTAATAGATAGCTGACCATGAAATAGGGACTTTGATAGTTTTTCAGTAAATAATCTGTTCAGAAATGTTTTATTTCCAGAGATGGATCCAAAAGAATGTTGATGAGTTTTTCTTTTTTTAATTATTTGTTTAATTATTTTTGTATTGCATTCTTTAAGTTTTTTAATCTATTTATTTCGGTGAATTTTGCATGATTTTCTCTTATTTTAAAACAGAACTATAAATCTCATTATTTTTATAACCACTTGCAAAATTTTCAGCTCTCAGAGTTTATCTGTAATATATTTACTACTTCACAAACTGAATTCAGCATTTTTAGAAAGTTAGACCACATCTGACTTGGATCAGAAACTCAGAAATGAAGAGTTGAAACTCTCATGAGACTGGAGAAACTAGCGCCAATTAACCACGCACCCACTTTCTATTAAACTGATTGAAAGAGAGAAAAATACAGTGAATACATTCCATAATCAAAACATTCCATTTTAAAGGCAGGACAACTGAATAAAAAGCTGTTTACTTAGTTGAATTCTATTTTGTTGCGGAGATGACTGTCTCATTTGTTTAGCAAGGGGTTAAAGGGAAACTAATCCTTTAGGCTTACTTGGTAAGGTGGTTATCTTTCTTGCAATAGAGAACATTGTTTACTTTGCCAGAAACAGTGTAATTGTTTTTCAAATGTTCCTAAAAAAAAATAAATAAACTTATTAGAAAGAGGAAAAATATCACTGGCATAAGCATTGTCTTTAAACAAATCAAAAAATTAATGAAATTATTTTCATTAATATCCAGCAAGTAGAGGCATTTTGCATGAGGTAAGCTCTGTTAAAGCTTTTGCAAAGAGATTATTTTTGTGTGACGAGTGACTGTTCTAATACAAGTATCATAGGTTATGGGAAGCAAAACAGTGGTATGGTTGGCTCAAGTTAATTACATTTATTCAGATGAAATGCTATTCTCCTGTACTCTTCAGGAGAAGCAGAGAAAATACAGAAACCTTTCTTAGTCAGCATTTATCTATTTCAATTATTTTTGACAGTGTGTGTTGCATGTGTGCTTTAGCTACAGCGCCTTTATATCGACAGTTGGTAGCACAAGCCTTTTAAAGCACAAAGGGTAGCGGTACTTCAGCCAATCTGTGATAAAAGGGAAAAAAATGAAATCACTATGGAAACTGCAGGAAGAATCTAAAAGCTTTCTTTATAAAGTAAACGTCTGATGTTTGTGACTGCGGGGGCAAAAAATTCATAAATCTGTACGATGCTATCATTTCTGATTTGTTATCGCAGCAAATGCCAAGTCTAAGCAGTCTGACCTTAGCCTTATTAAGTGCTTTCTTTTCAGAAATTGTTATTATTTGACAAAAGAGAGACGGCAGTGCTGCAAGGGGGGAAAACTAATATATTTAAAATGGGTGTGTGCCTGTGTGCGGCTATATATATGTATCTTTTTCCCCCACAAAGCTCATGAAGTGAAGAATGCTGCATGTGGGAACACAGAGCCTCCTATTCTGAGCACAATTCAGAAAACTCTGTTTCGTCCCATTACATGCCTGGCTTTGATCTTATATTGAAAATCTCTGAGCCTCTCCTCCAATGCAAAAGCAAATAAATGCTCGTAGAAGGAAACCTCTCTCCCTTCAGCACACAGGGCCTCTAAGACTGAAAAATGAAGGTGACTGTAAGAGCTCTGATGAACCTGTTTGGACAACAGACCGCAACAAATACCTGTCTCGGCAGAGGAGTTTAAGAGACTGCAGAGATCCTCAGACGGTGCAGAATGTCTTGGCTTACAGAGGCCACTGTCTTTATGGCAAAACAACACCAGCCAGTCGTTCTCTCTACCTACAGCTGAAGAACTGCAGCATCAGAAGAAGCAATACCTACAAAAGCTTTCAAACTTGAATTTGCTTGTATTATTAGGGGAAAAAAAAAGAGAGAGAAAAGAAAAAAAAAAAGAAAAAAAGGAAAAGAAGAAAGCAAGAAAGCAAGAAAGCAAGAAAGAAGGCACCTGAATTCTGAACAAGATAGCAAGAGGAGGCATTTGGTAAGTGTTTTTATTGCACTTGGTTGCTTTAACTTGAAGATTTTTAGTCCTGTGTATATGAAATAAAGAGGATCAGAGAATGAATTTGCTTTTTTGAGGCTAGGTTTTGATTTATGGAAAAAATTCATGTATAGGTTTGCTTTTCTAACCCTGATAGGTTTTGATTTTTTTTTTATTGCTGTGTTAGGGTATAAGCATTGCAAGTTTGTTATTTCAAGGTGCTCAGAAAAGCACTGTTGTTCTTAGGCTGTTCGAATACAAACAATTCTAGTGATATATGCATTATCAAATATTTCGTCTCTACAATAACAGATTTAATATTCATCTCAGTGTGGTGATTTTAAGATATAATGATAATGACCAGACACAGGCAAACCTTTTCAAACTAAATGATCCAAAATCTTAATATAGTGTGAATATTTTAACTCGTATTGAGCAAGGTTATATCTGCAGATTAAATTTATGACAGATTATAATGATATTATAGTGGCATGAATTTATTTGGCTCTGAGTGTGAGAGCACAGAAGTATTTAGATTTTATTGTGAATGCTACTGAAATGTATGATATTAACAGTAAAGCTTTTCAGGTTAACAGCAGAAAACAGAGACAATACCGTATTTGCAATAGCAGATCAGTCTTCCAGTAATACATGTAAATCCTAAGAAAGAAATAATTTGACATATTGGCCTCATTGTAGCTTTTTATTCATACAATGAAAACAAATAGTCTGGGAGAAAATTTGGCTTCGTGGAATGTAATTAGATTACCTTTTAAAAGCTGCCCTAAATAGCACTAGCTAAAGGGAAATCCAGTAACATTTTTAACTCTGAATTGTGATGACTTTGCTACACTTATAAACCATACTGTATTCTGACTTTTATCAAAAGATTCCAAAGAAGAAAACTGTCCACGGCAGGTTGAGGCTACAGGGGCAGACCTGACTGTTTTTCTCTCCATCCAGCTACGTTACTTTGTGGCCCTCCAAAACCAGCGATTCCTGTGGATCAGCGCTCAGAGTGGTATGTCCAAATTGCCTCTAAGTTGATGGCAACAACTAATAAATACTAATTCCTGTCAACAAGTGCATTGTCAAATGGGAATATCTGTAATGTAGTCTGACTACTTAAATCACTCTGCTTAAGGACCAAGGGAAAAAATTCTATTGATGATCATCAGATACGTGTTGTTGTTTCTAGAAAATGTCTTATTTCTGGTCTTCATATGGAACTGGGTGTAGAATGGATTTAAAAGGTAAACTTTTTGAAAAGAAATGGTTTAGTTTACCCAACCATGTGTGAGTGAGTACATCCTCTTGTAATAACCCATGTCCTAACAGTTAGCCAGGAAATGGTTCACATTCAGTGTTGAGTAGAGGTTTTGTAAAGTACGTATTTGAGATTCAGAATCTGAAACCTTAAAAGCTTTGTTTTGAAGAGTGATTTTGTCTACTGATGTTAGCGCTAAAGTAACTGAGTGGGAGAGAGGGAAGATATTGTTAACTTCTACACATTTTCCCAACAGATCACGTATCAAAAGTATAATTTGTAGGAGGAATACAAACTGGTGAAATGTATCTCTGATGCTGGTTTCCTATGTTATTATGTAGAACATTTGTAATTATCTTGCTGAATCCTAATCCCTGACATTTGCTTTCACAAAGAATCTGGTGGAGAATGCAATACCCTAATTATGTTTCTGTGAAAAGAGTTGAGGGAAAAAAAAAAAAGTTGTGCTCTTTATGACAATTTTAAAGAAAAGCTATTTAATTAATATATTTTTTTTCCCAAAAGACTAAGGATTCTTTATCATCTGTAATTGCTGGTTGCTTTCTATCACAATGTATAAATACAGTTGAGCATATGTTAATCATAAGTTCTTTTCTAAACTACATGCTGTACTTGCTTACATCCTGAGCAAAACAGGCACTGCTTTCAGTCTAAATATTTATATATCTTTATACATGCTATCTTATGTTTTTAAGTATTTGCTGCAATAAATAAAGTGTAGTTACCATCTTTTACATATAAGTTTTGTTTAAAAATAACCTGAATTTTTAAAAGAAAATATCTCAGTGCTTTCTCATATTTTACAGTAGCTTTTGTATTAAGGAAGTGAAGATCAAGAATAACAGTGAGTTTCATTTGAGTAACGGCTCATAAAGCTCTCCTTGTGTTGTGTTCTTTTATATAGGTAACTAGTAACAAACAATGTTAAGTTGTAAAGCTGATTTTCTATCACTGAGAGAGCTCACTTTTTATGGATAGTTTGTCTATGAACTGAGACAAAAGGTTAATTGAGGTTACATACTTAGATACATTATGTGTATTTCACCTCTGTAACACAATTAGTTACTGAAATACCTCTTTGTATTTGGAATGAATAATTTCTTAATACAAAGCTATTTACTAAAGAATCATTAAAGCTGAATCTCTAAAGGAAAATGGATACCTGATACTGGCATGCGGCTTTGTTCATGAATGTGTGGCTGTGTGGGTTAGCTGAAAGAAATTACTTCAGCAGGGTATTCACAAGCAAAATTCTCAGCACAGGAGTATTCTGCAGAATATATATGGTTTTCTTTATGCTCTCCTTTTGGGAAATCAATTCAAACAGTTCAAATATCCTACGGTACATGAGACGAGATATTCAACATTGTGCCCACAATGCCTGCTTTGATTAAGTGAGCCATACAATTTAAAAAAAAAGAAGGAAGGAAGAAAAGCCTTGCTTATTCTGCCTTAAGCAGCTGTCTAGGCTTGTGTGTTTTTTGTTTTCAAAAGAAAAAAAATAGTGCTAATCGGTATAAGCAAGGATCACCTTTTTCATAAATCAAATAATTTGTACTTTATAGTCAGGCAGCTATGGTCAGTTAGTTGTGGGAAGAAGTGTCGTCTTCCTGCTCACAGGCAACCCTTGGTGAGTGCACAAAGTCTTTGGAAAGTTTTCTCCAGTGTTGTCTAAAAAACTAAAAATATTCTTTCCCCACTGGGTGCAGCCTGGGGGCTGTTCTAGTAAAAACAGCACAGGTTTCTGAGAAAGAAATTTTGCATTTGTAGTAAGTGCAAGTTTTGTCCAAAGTACCCAACCCCATCATTATATCCCTGTAGAAAGTTTCTGTTCCATTCTCCCATAAACCTGCTTTTTATGTTATGTTATTTCTTAGTTATGCTTGCATGTGCATAGATATCAATCTAAGAGCTCACCAAACATGCTCTACTGACTCAGTGTTCAAAGATAAGTGGGGGACTTGATGCAGGGTGAAATATTCCAGAATAATATAATGAATAAGACCTACTAGAAGGGGCTGAAATCATATATGACCATGCTGAGAAGCTTGTCACATGGTCAACAACTGTAATAGGACAACTCTTCACAGTTTGTTGCCAGTGGTTTCCATTTTGCACTGGTGTAGTTGTGCTGGGTAGAAAATTAATTACCACTGCCCTTTGGAGTTACAGTTACAGTCACATCTTCATAGCCAGATTATCAGCTGACTCCAGTTGGTTCCTCCAAAGTCAATGGAGTAACACCAGCAACCAACAGCAGCAAATCTGCTTGACATATATTTCCCCATTTTTAATTACTGTTTCTGTTTTTATAACACCTGTTAACAATTTGCCCCCAAGAGGAGGAAAACTGTTGCAGAATGCTTCAGAATTTGCAATAAAGTTCTCTTTTTACCTAAGAAATATATTATTTTGTAAGTCCATTTTTAATTGAAAACTTTCTGCATGTCACTGGACATTTACATAAACTGGTCATAAAAAGTATAATTCAATAGATATTTTATCCTTAAAGACAGATATTCTGATTGACACAAATGAGATATTTTGAAATAAAACAGCAACAGGACTTGTGAACACTGAGGTCTAGTTCTTTAAATGAATCTGGTAGTCTAGAGGACTTCTGCTGTGCAGGGTGAAGTATACTGAATAAGACTGATTTGCTTTTCTGTTTGCTTGTTTTCTTGCTACACTGGAAGAATTTCAAAAGGCACTGGACACTTGCCATTTTGGGGGAAGGTTAATAAACAAATTTCAAATATTTAGAAAAGATCTCTCAAAATACTATAAAGTGACCATAGGCAACTTTTCGAATTAATTGCATGTACCTTTTTTAACATATCTTTATGAAGTTACCAATGAAGAAATGATTATTTATGCAATGAATAAAAGCTTTTTTGAATTGACAGGTTCTTTCAGGCTAACTCTGTGCTTTTGAAGTCATACTTATATGCCTTCTCATTAGCACTCTGAATGGTAAAAAAAGAGAACATATTCTAAATCATACTGCACTATTGTGTTAAAAGTTTTTGTAGCATGTTTAACTTCTACACTGCTTTAAAACCAACCAACCAATCAACACATCAAAGAACAAGCATACGTGTATGCATACACATCCCACCACTTAAAATAAAGACAGATGTAAACAGAATAAGGAGAGAAAAATGTGTGCTTAAAGCTAAGTATATACCTGGACTGAAATTATAACGATATCTAGGATCATTAGTTTTTCATACATTACTTCATTATTTGCTAAGTCAGACACAAAACATAAATATCAGATAATTTATTTTAACACCATCCTTGATTACGTCTTTGTGAATAATTTCTTAAGTTTCAGATCATATTTAAAACAAACAAAACACAACTTGTGGTGTGACTATAATTTGCTTATTAAAGTATAAACCTGATACAAGACTGAAATGGTTATCTGCTGCACCTTATGCCAGCTAACCACGTACTTGCTCTCTCTAGCACGGTTTTCTGTGGGAGACCCCACCTCCATTCTCAATACTGAAAGTCAATCCTGGAAATCTGTTTCTAGTGGAAAAAAATACCATTCATATTTTAAGCCATTTGCACTACATAAATCTGCTTATTAATAACTTGAGAATATTTGCACAAAGATGCAAGGTGACAATTCAAACTCTTCTATTTCCTCTTGAAAAACGAGCATCCGAAAGAACACAGTGCACAAGCTATTAACAGAATTTGCTTCCTGATTTGTAGCTAAACTACACTTTTGCTGTGATATCCAGCGTGCAGATGGATTTCAAAATTAAAATCAATACTGCTTAATCTGCGTACGCTTGCTTCCTATGTGGAAGAAATCTAAAAGATGTTCCTAACAAAAGGCCAATGACCGATGGCTGATGTTTTCTTTCTTCTGTGCCCCTCCCTGTCTGGAGCATAAGGAAATCTTTGTAGAAAAAGTAAAGCCCCAGGAAATAAAGAGTTAAAGCGAAGGCAGGCTCGCGGGTTTGTTGAGATCTGTCAGAGTCTGAGTGGCTGGCTCCATATCTGTCTCGGGAACAATAGCTACCTGTATTCTGCACGGGCTGCTGGGCAGGCACTAGCAGTCTGCAGAAGGTCTGCCTCTCTCAGAGGTTTCTTTAGTGGGAATCCCTAATGACAATCCTACTTTTCACTGGGTGGGGGAAGGAAAAAAAGAAAGAAAGAAGGCAGGAAAAAAAAAAATCTTGCCTACTCTGTTGATGAAGGACAGAGCTTTGATCATTCTCATTCAGCCTTGACTTGGCCTGAGGTTTAGGTTCTCAGTCTTGAAGTCAGCGAGCTCTCCTTTCTCTCACCCGCCCGCACCCACTTGCACATCCGCACGCTCGCACACACTCGTCCACACACCCCTGTGCCGGGCTGGGCAGGCAGATTAGTGTCACCGTGGTGTCACCGCGAGGCACAGGGCAATAAACATAGCAGAGCCCATCTCCATGGTGGCAAGAGAGGGCACTGGAGGTGACGACAATGGAGAAGGATCTTTCTTCTGACAAGTTTTCGGTAAGAGGAATATTTATACCCTCCGCCAAGTATTTTATAACCTTCTAAATAAGTTAGAAATTGCTAGCTTTCAAATGTGCCTTGTTAAAGAAATATTTCCATTTACTGCTGTATCCGGGCTGTTACTAGCTTTTAAACCTGTAATTGCTGTGCTTTGTGTGACAAGAGTGTTTGCAGAAAACAGGGGAGATTTTTTCATAGGCATGGTGGCTACTATAGTTACATTTTAAAATATGTAACATTTCTAACCTTTGCGTTTTTAGAATTTACCGTGAAGCTTCATTCTAGCCAAGTTAAAATTATACTTAGCCGTAATAAATATCCAGATGCAATAAAATGCTGTGTAGCTGACAGTACACATGCAATATTAAAACAGTGCTCCCTCAACCCTAATTTGTAATTATTTTTGCACCCTTAACTGCACTGGGGTCAGAGAGTTTTAAAAATTAATGAGGTTCCCTGCTGAGTTCAAATAGTATAATCTACACGAGTTGTTGCTGCAGAAGGTTGAAATTATTTCTGCATATTTTTAATGTAGATGTAGTTCTTATTTTAATATACTGCTTTTGAATACTTTCATTTAAAGATAATCGGCAATAAGAAAGGGATGATGATCTATATTTAATAATGACGAAGTGAGTGCAAGGAAAACAAGGCATACGGTAAAAATGCGATGCAAACATTTGATAGGTATGTTTTCTAATTTCCTATTCTAGATATGTGTTAGATTCCTACAGCCACGGTCAGTTCTACATATTTACAAACAACTGCAGCTAGCAAAGGAAGAA